CAGCTCAACTAACCAGCCACTTGTAACAACTGCCATCCACTTGTAACAGATGTAACAGTCAAGATTGTAACACTATAAGTAGTAGAGCAGAAAAGGAATAGAGGAGGACTCTTTCAGCATTAAACTCTCTCTCTCTCTCTCTCTCTCTCTCTCTCCCCCTCTCCTTCCAAGAATTCAGGAGGTTGGCCCCTCGAAGAGCCCTGAGTTAGGCAGGTTCCTAACATATCATATAATAGGGATAAAATTGCACCTCTACCCAGAATTGAAAGCAAGTAGCTGAAGCCCTGCAAGGCTGCACCCATCTGACCAAAAAACACATTCTGCCTAAGAAAAATGTGGACAATAATTGTAGATAAGTAAATGCGGTAGATAAGAATTACCAAGTCATCAGTACTTGAACTAGAAGCCTAGAGTCCCTCCAAAACTTGGTCAACTGACTAATGGCACAGGTTGATATGTCTGTTAGTACAGTTTCTATCTATGGTCCATATGACCAAATTGATTAACAACAGCTTATGAGACAACCATATATACTCAACTTTGAGAAGGCTGGTCCAAATTTTTGGTTCATAACTTTGAACTTGCAGTGCAGAAGGTGAAAAAATAAGCACTTGTGGAAACTACAAATAAACACAAGAGAAAGCAGCAAATTACCTCTAATCCAAGTTGCTTTTCTTCAGAGGGAATATCTGAAGGAACCTGAACAATTTCAAGGAGAAAAATGGAAGGTGAATTCAAAGAATATTAGATATCAAAACAAAACATCACAAGTTTGTTTCACTTCTAAAAGTATTTTACATCTAACCTGGTTTAATTTTTGCAGTTTTCCTTGAGCTAAAAGAATCAGTAATAGAACAAAATGCATAACAAGGCGCAAACAAAATCACAAGCCAATCATGTCAAACTTGGGCAGCTGGACATATGGGTGGCAATCCTAAACATGCCAAACCAGTTACACCACAGACCAATAGATACAATGCACTGGCATATCAGGCTATCAGAGGTACCACCATACCAGTCTTATTGGAGAACTAGATTAAACTGGTTGAGCCAACCAGTTTACAATAACTGATGTCCCACAAGCCTCTTGTGAGTTGTGATCAGCTTATTTGTGATTATTTCTTATCCTCAACATTTTTTAATAAATAACTCAAACAAGTGGCAAACACCTATATTACAACCATTAAGAAGCCTCTTCCTTATGATTAAATGCACAAGAGTAATGCTACATTAATGGTATCATCTTCTTAATCCATTTGATCCAGGGGTTAAACCAGATTGATCAGGCAAAATGGTTTTGAAAATTTACCACTGAAACAGTTTTGAAAATTACGGTGTTGACCTAATCCACCTATTCTGGGTTTTACACAAAGCTTCATGCTGGTAAACCAACCTGGCTAAGAACTGGATCCACTTTGAACTGCACATCCTCCAGCCCACCCTAAACATGTTTCTAAGAGAAAAGAACTCAGGCTAACCCAGTTTGTCAAACTGAACACAATATGAATCTGGCTTTGGTTTGTTTTKCTTTGCATAGCTCCCAAGTCAGTTAAGTTCTGATAACTACCAGGCCCTAAATATACATTCAGACTTTTCAATGGATGTTTAGCCAAACCAAATTGTAAAACCATGATTGCCATGATAATGTTTCATGTAATGCATTCAGAAAATCTAATAGAGTGATTAATCAACCAAATCAAAGTCGAAAGGATGATATTTAAACCAGCCCCTCATGAGTTGATCAAATGTGATTCATAATAACAAGCAGAGTTGAAGAGGGCAGTCCCATCAATCTAGTATATTCAAAACTGCTTCAAGCATTTTGCAACATAAAACTGGCACTGCACTTTCAGGTGAATAACCATCAGAAATTAAGCATCAATTTATCCCTTTAACAACTTGATGCTGATTTCAGGGATCTAGAAATCTATTTTGAGCAATTGGACAGTCATGTGTGTAACATCAAAAAAATTTTTCAACCTCCCACAGGCAATTAAGTGAAAGTGTTATATTTGTAACACCAAAAAGTATAGACATTTGCAAAACTGCACTGACCTCCATCCTACTCATAGGCCTTCTGGAATGAAGCTGTCTAATGGCATATTCTCTGCTGCTTGGTAGTTCTGCAACACACATGAAAAAATAAGAGAATAAAAAAGCTTTCAGATAAAGGTAGATTGGAAAACAGTATTTAAACAACAAATATGTATATAAGGCTTCTAATTCATACCTTCAGACAAGTCTGCAAGATTATGATTTGTATATCCTATTCCATGCACTGCACTCCAATTACTCTGTACATCAAATCATCCATCACAATTATGATTGGCAACTCAGTATCTTGAAATTCAAAAAAAAATCTAAAACCTCCAACCATATGCATTCAGATTTAGTTTACCTCGCCATAGTAATCATGCAAATCCTCAAAATAATTTCCCTCGTTAACTGCTTCCATTGGAGGTCGCAAAACATTATGGAAGAAGATGGTTATAGAATCAAAGTAGAACTCAGGGCGTGGAGAATTGTGATCTCCCTCAAATTTGATAATATTTTTGTCTCCCTGTTGAGTTCAAAAGTCCAAATTCAATCAAAAATCTCTACTAAAAATTTCCACAGGAGATGCCAAACTCATTGTGGGAAGCAGGTCAGATAGCTATTGTTTTCATGTTAAAAAAGTTTGAATACTTTCTCACAATAAACTAGCAAGCAGAAATGATGATGACCAACATGACGTTATACTTGAGAAAGTGAGATGGCAAATCATGTCTGTAAATTGCAAATTCATTTGATTCTTATGGTCATGTGACATGAGCATTGAAATGGTCTTATTTGGGTCCTGAATTTTTTGTTTTCTGATTTTTTTTAGCATAAATATAATTTAATCTTCTTATATTTATTGATTATTGTTGTGTTTGGTCAGTGCCTAAGTCTTCCTTGAATAATTAGTATTTAGTCTTACAGTCTATTTTCTGTTTATGTATCTAGTATTGTTTTTTTTTTTCTTTTGAAATTCAGAATTATAGGTCTGGCCTAGGGATGGAAATTTTCCCCATCCCCGACTGGGACCCAACTTCCCCAACCCGATGGGGTCGGGGATGGGGATTGTTTTGGTGGGGCGGGGACGGGGACGGGGACGGGGACGGGGATTAATAGGAATCCCTGATCGGGGTCGGGGATGGGGATTGAGGTCCCCACCCCACTCCGACCCCGATTATGTATGTATATATATATATATCAAAACATATTTAAAAAATTATTTATAATTTAAATTTTTTATTTATTTAAGTAAATTTACTTTTCAAATAAATACTGTTATCTAAAAAACATTTGGGGATTCGGGTCCCCGTTGGGGATCGAGGATGAGGACAAATATTATCCCCGACGGGGATCGGGGACAGGGACGGGGGTTAATTTCATAATTGGGGTTGGGGACGGAGAATATGATCCCACCCCGTTGCCATTCCTAGTCTGGTCACCCTACCTTTTCTCCTATATACTATAAGATTGAATCAACTTAAAGGAAAAATGAATAAGAAATATCGCTGGTAGAAATTTGTTAGCTCTGTGTTATTTATGGGCATTCCACCAACCCCTCCCTTCCCTCTTGACAAGTTGCAGCTGAATCAACAGAGATCAAAATAGCAATGTTTCATGTAGTAATAGCCTTACAGTCATCTGGACTTACTAGCCAATAAAAGAGGGATTACTACTGCTACAATCGAGGAAACAGGGATCAAAAGAAAAGGCAACATCCATGTAGAAATAGTCTTCTAGTCACTGAAGAGGATCCGTTAGTGTCAAAGAAGACAATAAAGAGGAAAAGAGAATGAAGAGAAGAGCTCGAGTGAGAAGTGAACATAGTGCCTTCGGGCTCAAGCCCGAACTCAATACTATTTATTTTCTTAACAAAAGTGCCAACTACAACTATACCCTTCAATAGATTCTTTTTTTTTTCCTGTTGAGTTGTGCTTTGTACAGCTCTGTCCCTTACAGAACATACAACTAGTATTCCTCTATACAAGTATCCATCAAAGAAGAAAAGTTGCACATAGTTACTATATCAACAAGGTTCTGAAATTTGGGTTTACTCCTCCGTTTACATTTTCTATTGATAGGATCAGCTTTTAAAACTAAAAAGAAAATAAGGATGTAAAAGAAGAGAATGATAATAACAGAAAAGTGTCTGGATAAGCAGCATTTGATGGCTTTGTTAGAGGTCACTTAGCCAATAATAACACCCCACATCAGCCATCAAGTGTACAAGCCCCACAACCATTCCAATCTCCAACTTGTGTGCATGGCTGACTTGGGGCATTATTATTGGTTAAATAACCCCTAACACAGCCATCAAGTGCAGGTCATCTGGACTCAACAGTAAACAAATAATAAGAAAGTGAATTATGCATGCAAGGGCAATATGGTGAAATGGAAACTAGCTTTTCAAAATTTACCAAAAATAGCTAAAGACGAAAGACCTACCACATAAGCATCATATATACGATCAGAGTGATGGGGAAGAATAAAGTCATCATCAATAGCATGCCCTATTAAAACAGGAACAAAGCAAGACTTTGCCACCTGTAATTCAAAAGAAAAAAAAAAAAAAAAAAAAAACTAAGAATTACAAAGGTCAATTTCTCAAAGAGAAAAACATAGAATTAAACTAAAAACAAAAGTGATCAATTGTTTTCTTCTACCAATAACAACAACCCTTCTTTTCTGTTTTTATTGGTTAACGTTAAATTTGACTTCATATCATATATGCATCGTATTAAGGACCAGCATAAAATCCAAGGAAATGAGCAGACGCTCCCATTTATACTCATGGATACTAGGAAACAAGTGACAGTGGCATAGCACATTTAGAGCTTAAAAACTATGGTGTTTTAAAGTGAGTTCTCTTTCAGGAATAGTTAGGTTTCATTTTTTTTTTTTTTGGTGGGGGTGTTACATGTAGGTTGTTTCTTTGTAGAACAAGTTAATGTTGCTTCTAGAGTAACCAACAGCCTATGTGGGATACTTTCATTTCTTGTTGGACAAGTTAAGGGTTTCTTCCTTAGGGATTGTCATATTCAAATTCCTTTGCTTATAAGGGTTATTCTTATATTCTATATTGTATTTTAGCTACCATAAGAGTGTGTGCTAATATAAATCCTCCTTGATATCTAAGTATCTAAGTCCTTTTTCTTTATTTTTAAGGGGATAAATAACCATTTTTGGCATCTAAATTGTTCTAAAACTTTTTTTTCTTTTTCAAGTGAGTGTATCTCTTCTTCATTCTTCTTACTCTAATTATTATTTTTTTCAGTAAAAAGAAGTTTCTTCTTACTCTAATTATTCTTCTCTCTTTTTTCTTTTCCTTTTATGTATGTAGTTCAGCTTTTGCAGGCTTTCAGTCCCCTCTTCTGAAACCCTTTCAAAAGTTATCTTCTTAGGGGCCATTTGATAACAGTTGAAGATGCTGAAGTCTGAACTGAAAAGATTATTGCTTTTTTTTTAAGTGAATAAGTTATCAAGGAGATTATGGGCTCCTTACATGGCTGAAACTGAAGTTGGCTAGTTAACTGTACCCTTGAAAATTTTATTATTTAATTATTTTATCAACAAAAAAGATAAAACAATAAGTCTTTCAGTTCAGCTAATTAGCTGTTATCAAACGGCCCCTTAATTCTTATATTGTATCTTCATCCATCACTCATTAGATAAATCCTATTGATCATTCTAATGATCAAAAATTGCAAATAAAATTTTTGGGTTGCCATGGCTACCTATGAAAGCCATAATCAGAAGTCCAAATCTGAAGGGGAAGATGATATTTACACCTTTTCAAAAGGGTAAAGCAATTATCAACCTGGTGGATGAAGAGTTGGAGTTGGAAACCATAAATATTCAATCAGATTATGGTAGTATTTTAGTTTCAAGATGGTCCCCATTATCTAACACAAAGAAGCTGCTTGTGAAGGATGATGTGACCGATTGTGTTATTGGGCTTCCTTTCCATCTGCGGAAGCTTGAAGCTTTTTTTTCATCCTTTGCATCAATCTGTGGAGGCCAGCTGAATGAAGTTTTTACCTTCAACCTTCATTCAGTGGCTGTGACTCATTTCATTGGTTAAGAGGAATCAGAATCTGTTAGCAGCGATCTGAAGTCTGATACATTCAAGGGTGACTCATCCTTAGAGATGAAGTCAATCAAGCATCTTGATAATCAGTCAAAGGTGGCAGGTGTATTTCAAGAGAAATGTTTAGTTGTAGATGAAGAGCAGGTCCTAGAAGCAGAGGATACTATTGTCCAAGGGCAGTGTTTCAAGGAGGTTAGTTTTGTGGAATCACAGTTGGGATTGATTGAGATCCTTGAAGAGACAGTAAAAGAGGATGCCTTGGAAAGGGTCTCTCCTTCAGCATGCACCATTGAGAAGTCTGCTAATGAGATTTCAGATTCAGAGCTTGGAAAACAGGAAGGTGGTATTGAGATTACATAGGAAAGGAAGGTCTATTCTGAGGAGTCTGAGACTACTCAATTTCAAAAGGAGGCCACTTGTACTCGTGTAGTTGTGTTGGAAACAATATGGTAGCTTTAGAATTTGAAGGGAATGAGCTAAATAAGGAAAAGGAGCTGAAAAGGTCAAGGAATCTGAATTGGGGAAGTTTGGTCCGACGGACAAGTGTCCGTTGAGAAGTTGGGGGTGGATTTAGGGAGAAAAAGAATTTCAAATATGCTTAAAGAAACTAGAAAAAAAATGAAGGTGCTGCAATAAATGACAAAAAAACCCAAGAGGTCAAACAATAGTCAATTAGTTCATGTCGCCAAGGCCTTCCATCAGCTAAAGGAAGATCTCTTTGGAGTTGGGCCTTGCTGTAGGTATAAGAGTATTTAACTATCTATAAGAGAAGGAGATAAAAAGCAGGAACAGAATTGAGAGCCTTGATAGAAGTAGCAGTAGTGTGGATGCGGTGGAGAAGAGGCTGGGGAGAAGAAGTTGGAATCCACCTCTACTGTTCAAAAAAAGGTATGTTGACAAGAGATGAGGTGATGCAGGGGATGGAGTGTGAAGTGGAGAAAGAAAATTCAGAAGGGGAAGGGAAGGACGAGGAGGTGGTGATGGATCGAGTGAGAGAAGTAGAAAGCAATGTGGATTTGGAAAAGATAGTGGAAACCAGAGTCTAAGTAAGTGGTTGGTGAAAGATATTAGGATCATTGTTGTTTTGGGGATAGTAGGGGGGGGGGGGTCTGTTGGGTGCTGAAGTGTTTTGGAATGGACAGTGAATCCTGTGTATGCTTGTAAAAATGGGGAAGGAAAATCTGTATTATTAGGGGATGGAGAGCATTATTGGTGTGGGTTTTGGGTTTAAAATTTCTGTGCGTGATATCTTGTCACCTTTGTACTCTCTATCTCTTTAATAAATTTTTCTTTTTTATTTTTACCCAAAAAAATCTGTTATATATAATCAAGTGTCTTGGTCCATATCAACTTATCTACCTCCTCATCCCTTGGTTTCCCAGCCCCATCAAAGTTTTGTGTATTTTTTTATTTAAAAAAATAAAAAAAGCATCAAATATGGAGCTATTTAAACTCACCCCTACCAAGTCAGCTTCCTTTTATTGGGAAAGAATGGTTGTGGTGGGTTCAAGTACACAGAATGTTAATAARGGAACAAGAATAAATAATGGATTTTGTTGAACAAATTTGTTCATGTCCATAAAAAGATTCCCCTTTTATTGATGATGAAACTCTAACAAAATTAAAATAATCTATTTAAGTCTCAAAATTAAATAAGAATCCACATATGCACATCTTTCCAAAGTAATCAATCAGAAATATATCAAAAACCTTAAAAAATTATAGGAAAAATAAAACCTTAATGGTGTTAAGGTCCATTATGTCAAAGTTTGCCTTCTTCTGGATAACCCTGCGCATGTATTGTATTGCTAATTTCACCTAGAATAAACCAAAGAGGAGAAAGGAGTCATCAATTTCATAAGAATAGTCCTAATATTGAAGTTAAAGGATAGTTTGAAAAATATATAGATTACAATAAGCTTAACCAGTTAATGGATAAAAAATCACAATTCTACACTAAAAAAAAGGATGAGAACAATCCTTCAAGGTTAGAAGAAATCAGAAACAGAAACCATCAGAAATGGGGATATGACTGTCCATTTCCTACAATCCTCTACATGGATATCCCACATACTATGCTTCTATATTATGAAAGCTAAAATGCCATTCCTCAAGACTAATGYCTTGCCAAATTTAATTAAGTTCTTACATATACAAATTTTTTTCTAGCATGATTTGTTGAACATATGATTCTACATATGTTATAAGTTTTTTTGTAATAAATAAAAAGAAAATTTATTGAAATAAAAAGAGAGATACAATAAGGTGACAAGGCATCACCTCAAGAGAAAACAAAAAATAGACCCAAGAACTACTATCCTTCTCCAAGGCCCAATGGAACCAGCTCCACCTGATACAACTAGTTCCCAAAAGATATTAAGCTATTGATCCATCCAAAACCTCCTGAAGATAATACCCTCCTCCCAAAAGACTATTGCACAACTATGAAACCCAATTATTCAGCACCTCCTGAATCTTTCCCAGAACCCTGTTTACTTCTCTTTGTGACTTTTTTTGTGTTCTTAACCTTCTTTGAGGGCCCAATTCCTAACAAACCCCCTCTTGATCTAGCAAAAAGTTGACACTTGGATAATTTGTTGATTTTTCTGGCTTCTGAATTGTCTTACCGCACTAGGGTCTAGGGATCTTCTTAGGAATCTGCAAATCCTTAGGATGTGTTTGGTTTGAGGGAAAATTTTAGAGTGATCAATGATTCTTTCTATGCCAAAACAGCATTCTCAGAAACCCAATCTGCTGCCACCTCACCATCCTCGTGGATATTAATCCAATATTTTCAGACAAACCCAACTAAATTTGATCTTCTTTCCTTGCAACACTGCATGTCACACCAGGATCCAAATTATCCTCATTCCTATCCATTAGAGGCATAGGAAATCTTTTTTCCAGTTCGTTAATTTTTTTCCTTGCAAATTGTTGGTAGAGTGGCCATAGGCCCTCATTTGTTCATCCTCAACATGTTGGACAATCCAGTGGCCATGTGGCAAGCCACATGTTGATGGAAAATAAGTTAATCTCTGTGCTACACTTTTGCACCCACAACAAAGTTTTTCCTCTTTAATTATATTATTATAATTATCTATTTTCTATAATATTCTTTTAGTTGTTCATTTTTATGAAAGTGTTTTTCCTTCATTTTTTTTATGCACAGAGAATCCATTATTTAGAATCTTTATTAGATCCTATTTCCAGCTCTTAATGGGTCAATGACAAGTCATTTGACTTGGTGTAGACTGGATGACCAAGTGGCAAAATCCTTGATCAGTGAGACACTTGTCTCAATCCGGAGGGGCTTGACTCAGTCAACCAAACAGTTGCACTTCAACGTTCCTATTAGCATTTATTGAACACAATAGGATGTTGTTATAAAAGGGCACTTAGATTGTTTTCGACGCACACCCGAAAGGAAGCTATCGAGGGAAGAGAATAGGGCCTCCCAGCTGGCCCAACTATTGAGGGAAGAGCATAGAGCCTCCCAGCTAGCCCAATTCGGATTAAGCAGTTCCAGGTTGCACTTTACTTCCATGGGCTAGTGTCTCGGATCTCCTTTGTTTCCTTTATTCTTGCAGATTGAAGATTGGAACAGATGACGAGCAGATCCAAATGGGTGATTCATCGGGTGGTTCATCACAAATTCCTCTCCAAGAAAAAACCAAACCCAGACTTGCTTACCTCGATCTCTGTTTTCACTACTATTTCCAGATCCAATGTTTTCCCAATGACATGGGTCTCATCGATGCAAACTTCATCTTCATCTCCATTCTCGTCATCCTCTGTAATTGGATTCATTCTATACTTCTTTCTTCTCTCATACCATTTTGCTCCCAACTCCCTGACAATGTTGTTCCCAGGCCCCTCTTCATCCTATAGGTCATCCACCTTTCTCTCCTTTGTTCTTGCTTTTTCGATATTCCCAACTCCTTCGATCTCCAGTGCCACCTTTGTAGATACTTCAGATATCCTCATGTCTGTTTCTCTATTCAAAATATCCACTGCAAAGTCCCCTTCTCTATTCAAACTCGACTCAATACATGCAGCTCCAAGAGTCCTCTGCTGACTTCAGTAACTCCCTCTCTACCGCATCGCAGGGATTACCCAATTTCTCTGTTTGTTTATCCATAATGGTTTTCCCGTCTCTTAAGTGCAACCCATCTCATTATCCATCAACCTGTTCAAGTCTTTCTTTTTGTCTAACCTTGTAACCATCCATTCCCAGATCTCCTCACTATTTCTTTACCTCTGAAACTTTCTCCTCTAGGAAATATTTTAAACACCACTCCTTTTCTACCCTTCAAGACACCAACAGTAATATTCCCCTCTGCCCTCTTAGCCTTCTGTTCGGATGCTGCTTCCACAAATCAACAATTTCAAAGCCACCATTTGAGACAATACCAGGCATCACCTTTTAGTCTTCTATTAAACTCCAACTTAGACTTCTTAGAAATCATCCCTTCACCACTTGAACGAGGCTGCTGATATGAGGGTTTCCCAATAGAATCAATTTTGTTTGGAGCAGGTTCAATTGAGGATGACAATAGATAATCATGATTGTCTACATGCCCCACATCCTGACTCACATGATTTTTTTAAGTGGGCCTGGTCCCATTTGTTTAAGTCAGCCTGTTGATGGTTTGTAACCAGCCCACAAAACCCAATTCAAGTCAAACCTTTATTTAACAAAATTGAACTGCTCTCTTGACAAACTCCATGTTCAAATTCCTTAAGCCTCACACCACCATTAAATGCATTGGGACACAAACGAATTCGCCAAAACCCCCATAGGACTTTCCAGATACCAACTGAGTGAAGCTTCAACTATTTCCAATAATGAGAATTTGGTGTTCTTCTGTCTCCTCCCCAACACAGAACTCTACTCTTTGCAGGTTAAAACCCTCTTCATTTGAATGCACGAATTCAAGCTTGCCATGTAATGCAGCCTTCTCTGCACCCATGGATTGAAGTGATTGATTGAAGTGTATCTTTTTGCCAAAGACGAAACAGCAACCCAAGATCCTAACAAACACACCATCTTCAGCCTGAACATCCCTAGCATTTGAAAACACACACTGCTTAGAAATCAAAAGTCCACCAGATTGAGAGTGAATCATTTCACATGCTAAATCCAAGGGCTCCTCCAGCAGATCAAGTAAAGCTGTGTAAGGGTGTTCATTCGGTCAATTTGGTTCAGTTGAACCATAAACCTAATCGATATTTCAGTTTAACTATTCTAATAATCTGAACCAAACCTAACCAAATTCAGTTCAGTTTAACCTAATCAATATTCCGGTTTAACCATTCAATTTGGTTTGGTTCGGTTTTTCAGTTTAGTTTAGGCCCATTAATATAAAGATTTCATGAAGGTTTTCAGTTTTCGGTCTAAAACAGAGAACCAGTGCCAATGTGGGGAGCTATGCTAGTAGGCAGCCTCTGTCTCCTTGCAATGGAAATTCAACAGTAGTTGCAGGCGGCGCATTTTAAGGAGCAAGCCTTCCTCTCTGCCAGGCAGCGGCCAAGAACTCTCCACATCCATCGATGACATGGCCTCCGATTCCGACAGCATGGTTATTTAAGCACTCCCTGTACCTGCTCATAATTCTCCAATTCGCAGACCATTTTAGCTCTAGACAAATTTCCAAGCAATTTGTAGGTTGCAGACAACAGACACTGATATCCCCATCTCTTCACCTTGCTTTTCGTGACAGTTTAAAGCCCAGTTCAGGTTATATGATTTCGGTTTTATGAAACTGCTATGCCAATAAACATAGTAAAACCCCTCCATCTAAGATCCAAACCTCCAAAACTCCCCCAATCTCTCCCTCACCTGTGCCAACCTGAAACCCCTCCATCCTTTGTAAAACCTCAAATTTCTTTGACAGAAGCAACAGCCATGGCCATCCTTTCATCATCTTCACCACCATTCCTCCCATGATTCAAACACAAAATTACCTTGAAAAATCCCCAAATTTTCAGTCAAAACCAAACCCCACTGAGTGTCTGATTGATGAAATCTTGAGAGAGAGAGAGAGAGAGAGAGGAATTATCTCAAACATAAGATGGGCGGTTTTCAGTGAAACAATCCATCTATTGGTTTCCTATGAACAATTAATATCTCTTCAGTGAAAAGTGAAAAAAGGTAAACCTGCAAAAAAGAAGCTTGGCGGTATTAAAAATTTATAAGAACACAATGGTCATTCAAATAATAAAAAAATATAAAAATATTATGAGCAAAGGTCATTCCATGACAGTAGTCATTCGATGGAAATTGTAAAATCATTATAAACAGAAATATCAGTTTATTTGGCTTTCAGTTTGGTTGAATTTTTTGCCAAATTGAACCAAAAAATCCATTACAAACAGAACTGAATTGACTTGTTCGGTTTGGTTTTTGGTTTGATAGCCAAATTTGAACACCCCTAAAGCTGCACCTATCAAAGGGAGTGGTTATTATGGAATTCTTCAGTTTGAAATGTCTGTAAATAGCCTTTCCTACCTCATGCCAATTCCCAACTTCTTGCTTAGCCAAAATGACAAGCTTGTCCTGCCATTTTTCCTTTCTCTGATTTACCACCAGCTTGCCCATACCATTAACAGTCACTATGTTCACCCTCCCCCCTGCCAAAGACATCTTACCAAAGGCATAGATTCTTTTTGTTGATAACCAAAGGGAGATCAGTCCCAAATCTTGCATTGCAAGAAATCAAGCAAAGCTTTCCATATCTTCCCATCTTGAGCCTTTTTCTCCTTCAAGGATAGACATTACTTGTTTACTCCCTTTCCCAAAAAATTCAAACACGCCAAGAATCTTCTGTTATTATTTCCTTCTTCTCAGCCAAATACCTTCTACTATGTTCTACTTTCGAACTCTTCCAAAGTAGATCTCTTCTGGTTGTAATGGCACCATAAATCCAGATTTTAAACCACCCAACCACTTCTTCACTAGAAACATCGAAGCCCTCTTCAGTTCTCTAATCTTTAAATGTTCAAACCCTTGAACTTTGTCTCCTCTAGAAAAAAAGTTTTTGCTTCAGTATCATATTGATTAGGGTGCAATTTGGGTCAGGCTGGGTTGAGAATTTGTTAAATTTTGGATGGGCCCACACCCTAACCCAAGCCTGAAGTAGTTGAAGTTCTTCAATTGGGGCACCTGACTTTCACCCCTATATGGGCTCCATACCATGTATGACAACAAATAAACTATGCAATGTGAAATATACAGGTATCATAGATTAACACCAATTGAAAAAGATAGAAAAGAATGGTAGAAATTTTCCTCAGATTCTTTACTGTTCAATACCAAGAAATCATTCAACCGAACAATCAGACCAAATAGTTCATGGGTCTCCACTCTCTAATAAGAGAGGCAGGTTGGATTAATCCAAGTTGTGCCACAACAACCAATCTACTGTTAACCCATGCAAACCCAGCCCATCCAGGAAATCACCAGGCAGAAAATCCAAAGCTAGGACCACCACTACAACATAAAATATTTAGGATGTGATGAAAACAAATCAATATTTTTCAGTTTCTCTTTGATATTGTGAATGAGGGATACCTAAATCACATTATGTACAAAAAGTTACTAGTAAACTAACATCTGTAAACTTATAAATAGCAGAAAATGTATATAATCTAATATATAATATTTTCTGTGCCTGCATTCAATTTATCATATAATATTTAAATGTATATAAAACAAATATACAACTGAATTTGGTTGAAATCATCCAAACATGGCAAAACAGTCCTGGAATTCAGCTTGGTCTGACCATATGCCTGAGTAGAGCAGACCCTTTGTCTGTTGCCACCCCTACTCTACAGTCTCTAATACCCGTCCCCAAAAGGTAGGGCTGCAAATAAGTCGGATCAGATCCAATTCGAATCCGAATTTGATCCAATAAGAGCTGGATTCAGACATCTCCCTTGATCCTAACAAATCAGATTGAATCCAAAAAATCAATCTTTTTAGTTAACAGATTGAATTCAAATATACCTCAATCTGATATGTCATGACCCAATCCAATCCATTAGTTATGAAAAAATATATAATATATGTATATATTATAATTATATACTATATATTATAATGTATTATTTACATTATATCATCAACTTTTTTTACTACAATCCAAATCGAATTGGATTCAAATTGGATTATCCAATAAGATATTCGAATTTGAATCATAATTTTGGAAATCCAACAGATTCTTATCAAATTCAGGTCTGTCAGATTTCTTATCGAATCAGATCGGATATACACTTTAGTACTTTACCGAATCCAATCTGATCCGTTTGCAGCCCTACTAAAAGGAATTCCTAACCCCTACCAAAAAACTTGTAATGCCCAGATATGGATACCAACAAGTACAGGAAAAGGGGGATACAACTCTATTTCCTAAATTCTTGAACACCGATACATGCATGCTTCCATATCAATGTGTATGGAAAGTAAATAGGATTTAATGTTTACTTTATTAATTACACCCTTTTTGATTGAGAAGAAAATGTTAGGAAAAGAAAATCTAAAAAAAAGTGACTTTCCTCAGTGTGGCTAACAAGAGAAACCAAAACAGAAAGAAAAGTTGAGACAAAATATGAAGGTGAATTTTCTCTTTGGTTTATTTTATTTTCTCTCCTTAAAGGTAGAGGAAGCAGAAGAAAACAGTGGGTGAGAGGAGGAAAAACTAATCTTACTCTCTCCTGAAAGAATCGTTGTTTTCATTTTTTTTTCTTTCTTTTCAATTTTCTTTTCTTTACTCTCATTATCTACCTAGTCAGACACCATTGAAGGAAAATATAAGAACAAAAATATTTTCACAAAGAAAACAAATGAAGCTGCTGACATAAAACCATATCAACAATCTAAAAGTTTCTTTACGATACATCTACTTACAGTGAACTTGGGTAGACGGAATTTGTAAGTTTCCACAAGTTCTAGCATGAGGTCAACCAAATCGGAAAATGGGCTGTCAAGGACCATTCCTGCAATGGATGGATCCTCAGCTCCATACATTAAACTGCAAGTGACAAAATATAATGTTTATAGTAGAAAGACGTAGCAGAAACGCCCATAATTTAATTGGTGAACATAAAGAAATGGTGAAACAGGATGCATGTAGCCAACTCATAGTTGGGACAAGTCTTAGAAGATGATGAAATAGATGTGATAGACATGCACACATACACACGTATAAATGTGGAGAGAGAGAGAGAAAGAAAGAGAATAAAGAACCAAAATTTGTACATGTGTAGAGTTAAATACAGAATCTTAAGAGACAAACCTTGGTACAGAAGTACCATATTGTGGGATCATTAAATATAATTAAAACAAATAGATTTGGATATAAATAAAAATAAAGAAACATCAGCAAGAAGAAATCAAAAACTAACATAAATATCTTAAGCGGTTACTTGCTAATCATGCATCTAGTTATACATGAAAACTTCTACCCTTTCTTCCTCCATCCATGCATGCAAGAAGCATTTTCTCTAAGATTATTTGGTGAACAAAAAAAAAAAAAAAAAAAAACTCATTTCCTCAAGTTGAGCTTGCATTTTTTGAGCAACACATCACATCATCTGTTTAATAATGTCTATTTTATAATTATAAAATCGAAATTATTAAACTAGAATATTCATTTTGTGTGTTTATATACTAGTTTCTTTTTATTACTATTTTATAATTATAAAATAGAAATTATTAAACTAAAATATTCATTTTGTGTGTTTATATACTARTTTCTTTTTATTATTTTCTTATTTCTTAGGGTTTAATGAACACCCATGTTGCTAAATGAACCCTCAAAAACCTCAAAACCCAAACCAATACGGAAGAACTTAAATTTTTATCTAATCAACATATTTTTCTTCTTTTCCTATAACAAAAATAGGGGTTCAGCCCCTGAATTTTCTTTCCTTTCTTTTCCTTCATCTCATGAATATGTTGACTTTCTATACTTTAACATGAAGTCTATACTTATGAAATTTATGGATAATTATTAAGGAAATATGGTTGCGAGTAGCTACAGAACCTAGGGAACTAGCATAGGTTATATGATTTTTACTTTAAAAAAAAAATCCATTAGGCAACAAGGCGCCCCCCCTGTCGCCTAACCTCACCTTAGCGCCCTGAAAACTATAAGCTGAGATAATGGATACTAAATATAAAGGTATCTCTTTCAAAAAACACAAAGAAACAAAAGAAGAAAGAAAGAAAGACTCAATAGGAACAACAGATGCTGATGGTGAAGATCAACTTAGGGCTTCTCTGCTCTCTTAAGAGGGGGTGAGGAGACAAGCTACTTGTTATGGAAAACTTGGAAGGGTCAGTTCCCAGTTGGAGTATTTTGTCCTGGTGACRATGGCAGGCTGCAGATGCACCATATCCATATGCATTGCCTTTTGGCATCCCTCAATTTGAATTTGATCAAAATTCAATGAGGTTGGTTTTGGACACTGACCTCCATATAACCTTCAAAGACTAAGTGACTAACATCTTGGCCAACTCATATAACTCAGAGAATGCCACACAAGTGTACCAACTCATCTAAGTAGAGTAGAACCCATCCCAGTCAAATTGATTTGCTACTCCAAAAATAAAATGTCTTGCAAAAATTGGTCAAAGGATCTGTTTAATTGACATACAAAATCACAATTGGAACCTTAAAGATTGTAGAAGAAACTTCTGGCTAAACCATCCTTTAAAGGACCACTATAACAGCATTTCTTTCAACACATGTGAACAATGTCCATACTACATTATAGAATCCTTGTATGCAAGAACAATAAATGGCATGGCAAAAAATAAACCTGGTTACAGCACCCATTGAACGACCCCACAGACCAATGCAAGACACATTGCCATTTGAACGTAAATAATTGACCACAGCCTTCAGATCATCCTTCTGGAAAATTCCCAAACCATGTTAGATTCCATAAAAGATGGGAAGAAAAAAGGTGATAAATTGGCTATTTGTAGTACAGAAAAACAATGATATGGTGCTTGGGAAAAATCAATAGAACATTACATGTTTGAAATGATGAAACATAAATTTTCAAATCATCTCTGAAAGAAGGAATAGCCCTCTAATAGGCACTTACTTCATTCCATCCCAGAGTGACATGTTCCCCTTCTGAGAGTCCAGATCCTGAAAAGTCAAGTGTAAAAACTGTGATATATGATGGAAGCAAAATTATAGCAGCTTCACTGGCATCTGCTCTGCAACCACTGGGGAAATCAAGATATATTGATGTTAGTTAACAAACTTAGAAACACAAGAGGCTTACATCAATTTAGTTGAAGTTGTCTTAGGATCCACAAGGGATGCGAAAAAAAGAAAATTAGTTCCAGTGATCATTAAAGAATATATGGCTTTCAATTAGTGAGGGCCATTAAATTGCAAATACAAAAAAATCCTCAGGTCTAATGAAAAGATGAGCTAAGAATCATTATAAGTAGTGGAAATTACAAGATAATCCTCACAATCCAAAGGCTTAATGTGGTACATGGGAAACTAAAATGAGTTTAATATAGCACAAACCTTCTCATGCTATTTAATTATTACAACCAAAGCTTGACTGACTAGACCGAGTAAATGACTTAGTCCTATTAAGGAAAAAATTAAGCAAAAGAACAAAATACAACACTCGTTCACTTCAAGTATATGACTTGACTGAGTTGACTCATATCAACAAGCATTTCCAACAAAGGAAGAAGATGAACAATCAGCCTTCAATTAGATTTACAATTGGATGTAGGTGGAACAAATAGATATGTTGGACCTGCTGAAGTGGACACATTAAAATTAGGCCTGATAGGCCTATATCACCTCCTCATGTCCACTAGAAATATCATCTGTACCAAGTTGGATGATTTTGGGATTCAGAAAGGCCCCGAGGTAACTTGCACCTCTAACAGAAATAGATCTTCCTGGTCCATTACAACTAAGAGACTCTGTCAACCAAAGTATTTCCTACACATTCTTAATCACATGCTGGATTAAGTAATTACAATCATTCATACAAGTTGATGAATACAAAAGAAGTATGCCAGCCCAATGCACAGAAAAGATCTCAAGCCAAGGTATGAGCACCATTGAATCATGAAAGCAAGCATATGATGTTTTCAAGTGTTATCTAGATTGAACCCATTGGTTTAACTCAGTTTATCTACACTTTGTAGGAGCAAAAGAAGAAAAGCCAGTTCTGATAGCCCAAGATCGGAATCCAAAGCAAACAAAAAAAACAAATGTTCAGTTCTATTAGCCCAAGATATATCAGGAAAGCATTCAAACATGTGTAGCTTCAGATCCTATCCTTTCTTCTTTTACAGTCTCCTGCAAACTGCAAAGTATTGAACTGTCCCTTGACAAAAGGAGACATGAAATATTCACCAGTGGCCAATATATGGGCAAATAATGTGAAGGTGTATATGAGCAGCTATTTTGTGGGGCATATGAGAAGAGAGATTTTGAAGGTTTCATGATTAGAAGCATGAGGTCAGAACCATCATCGATTTGGTGCCAGTCAGGGTAAGCACATTGGATCATGAAGAGGAGGATTATGAACACAATTCTTGGAGGGTGGAAGACCATAGTTTTACTATGCAAAGATAGGCATGACAATAAATATCAGTCACCACCAGCACAGGACAAGAGCAAACTCTTTTTTAACTACTAATTCCAGCCTCTCGCGTGCTGGAGAAGCCTTCAGGGGACAAACAAGGCAGTTTCATGGCATTTATTCTGGACCCATCGAAGAGAAACACCGTCAGAGATCATTTTTGCACTTACAGAATTTGAGAGTGGGTTTGTCCTTCAAAATAGAGGGAACTCAAGTGGTTATTGGATGAATGCAATCACGCCAAGTTGGTAGCGTAAACATCACATCACGAAGGCRAGATCAATGAAATCTGGGATGAATGGATTGTTCAGAGTTCCTAGTTAAGCAGATTCCTATCAGATAGTCTATCTAGAAGACAAATTGAGAAACCATTATTGAGGGTTAGATGTTTTATGAAATGCTCTTTAGCAATACCAGATGTTATTTGACACGTCTGGGTTCCACTATTTGGCGGAAAATGTTATATGACAAGTGCACAGTTTGAGTTTCTTACATGTATGTGATGACTGGAATAGCACCATGTAGAAAAAGAGAGAGTAAACAAGGAAACATCTAGAGAACACTTGCACGAAAGACCCTAAAACTTATTTTTACTGACCTGTTTCCATGGCAGTATATCACACATGGAAGTGCCTTTCCTTCAGGAATAACAACAGGCATGTAATGGCTACACTGAAGTACATTTCCCCGACTGTTAGTAACCTGCAGCATTTTTAAATCCATCTAACATGAGCTGGCTTTTACTAGAATCTTTCAAGTCTATACCCAAAATAAAACAAAATATGATAAAACAAAATCAATATTTGAGTAAGATATGGATTGGTGTGTAGAGTAAGATTCCAGAAGTGTTCTTGATATATTCACTATGATAAGCAACCATATATTACAGCCTTCATATCTCAAAACAAAATAGCACCTCTGGTAATGAAGAATGCAGCATATTTTGGGCAAACGAAATCTAACTATCATTGTATATTAAGAGGGTTTGAACATGCCATAGGATTCTGAGGAGTGAGACCAAACCGGTTCTTGCTCTTAATTGGACCGTACTGATCTTTTTTTCATCTATTTACCTATTTAGCCTTCCTGTCAGTTCCCTTGTCCCTGAGCATAAAAGGTAAAAATGTGCTTCCACACCCACCAACTAAAAAACCCATGAACATAAGATGTTCTTAAGAAAAGCCTAAGGAATAGCCAATCATCAACACTTGCCAGCAGTCAGCCAGTTAACATGGACAATCTATTCTCGAAAATTGGCCTCCTCTTAGAAGCCTAAGTGGATCCAGAATGTCCTGGCAAACCTGGGAATGCTACCTCTAGAGTGCAGAAACCCCAAAGACAAATATAAGGTTTCCTTTGGAGTTCGATTGGTTCTGTTTGCACAAAATTCCTTTATTCAATCTTTTAGTCTCTCCTTTATACAACTTGTACATTTCTCATTGTTTTTGTTTTCATAATCCCTCCATTCCACAAAAACGGTCCACTACAAAACAATACATATTTCAAGGAAACATTATCAATGCTTAATCTTTCCACTTTTTCAAATTATTTACTTGCCTTCATCTTTGCCATCATGGAAAAACCCAAAGTGGACAAACATGGACGGTAAACAAATCTCATGCATTAAAAATTTATACTCAGACCAGAACAGATTGTCAGACTAGTCAAACTACGAACCTGCAGCAAAAACTGTTTTTTTGTTGCCTGAATCTTAGAAATGTTGATTTGGTCATAAAACATACCACAAATACAAGTGTTAATGAGTGTTATAATCCCTAATGTTTATTGTTTTATGTTTATTGTCATGTAAATAGTTGTATAAGATAATCTAGAACCATTTTATATTTATCTATTTTTTACTTTTTCATATTTTTATTTAAGTCAAACTGGATGGTTGAACCATTTGACCTATGATCCAGTGACCAAAAATCATAACCTCCCCAATTAACCCTTCAGTAGGTAAGCTTTTACCATCAAAGATCAGATCATTTGTCTCCTTCCAAATAAACCAGAAAAGGGTGTAGGGTAGGGGTGATCATGTTCTAGGCTCAGGCCAGGCTTATCACCTGTGATAACGGCTATAGCCCAGGCCTGGGCCTGGTCTAACCTGGGTTGTGGGCCTGAAACATAAGCTAGGGCCCGGGCTACATGGGCCTGGGCCTGGTTCCACACTAATGACTTTTATGCCTAAAATATTGATATTATATATATAAAATACAAAATACAATATATATATATATATAATATACAAATGTGTGCAGGCCGGGCCTGGACACAACCTAGGTCCAAGCCCAGAATTTCTGGGCTGGGCTGAAAATGATCACCCTCATGCAGGATAGAAGGTTCCATAGGATTGTGCATTTACTGCCCTTATTGACCATGAATAATGTGCATGAGAATATCCTTGGACATTACCCAATTGCCATATGAACAGCAGGACAAAATGGAACCAAATGATTATAGTGAACTTGCGATTAGTAGCAAGCAGGGAACAGTTTCATCCACTATACCACATAGGCTGCAGCAATTATCAAGTTTGTCGTATGAGTTGAGTTCTAAAATATTTTTCTATGGTCATATTTTGTTTGTAGAGTATGCCGATCAGAAAAGAAATGTTTGTAGAGTCCCAATTTTTTTTTTTTGATAAATGAGAGTAATTTTATTGAAATAAATATCAGAAATACAAGCAGCCTAGGAAGAAGCACGAGATGTTACCTCCCCCAAGGACTGAACCATAAACACTAAACATGCCCAAACCTTAGATACAAATTACAAAGTAGCCCAAAACAGATCACCCCTTGACACCCCTTGCTTGGCCATCTCGCCGGCTTGTCCGTCTATCCAGCTATTGTAACCTCTTAGGTGAATTAATGAAATTGTTATTGATCAAAAAATAAATAAAAGAATCGGCCATTACATTTTCTGATCTGCTAACCCACTGGAACCTAACAGTCATATTTCTTCATCCATTTAACTTTCTTTAACAGATCCCTGTAGCCTCAACAAACTGTATCTGGGCTATTCAGCCAGCCCACTACTACCTCGGAATCTCCTTCTACTAACAAATTGTTCACTCCTAATTGACTAGCCATTTGTATACCTTGTACTGCTGCTAGTAGCTCTGCCCTTACAGAATCACCTTCACCCACTGGTCCTGAGAAAAGAGACAACATATTGCTGTCTTTATCTCTCAGAATCCCTCCAATTCCGGATGGCCCTGGGGTACCTTGGCAGCTGCCATCAAAGTTCAATTTTACCACTCCATCCAGTGGGGTTTCCATTCAACCTGTAATTTGTTCTTAGTGGAGACTGTAGAAGCCACTGTTTCCCAATTTCTCCTTAAGTCATCAAAGGAGAAATCTGCCAACAATTGTGAAGATTTCAGCCATGAAATTGTCTTTGTCAATATACATTCCTTGACTTCAGCAAGACTCCTTTCCTTTTCTTGAAATATTCTAGCATTTCTCTCCTCCCATAAAATCCACAAGGTGGCAGCTCTGATACATTTCCACATTATCTTCCCCCTTTCGTCAATCGTCCAAGAGCAACTGGAGTGAAGAGCAGCTTTACTTCAGAGGGCAAGTTCCACCTGCACCCAAATAAAGAAACAACCCGGTCCCAATTGTTTTATGCATTTCCAATTTTTACTTAGATATATTAAGAACCAATGCAAATATGAGTCCAATTAGGAATAAACCAGTTCTTACAAAGTTTATATTGTGCCTAGATCAAATTCAAGTAAATTTTTTGTTCTTTATAATTTCTGTGTTGGGCAAAAAACAGAACTTATGTCTAGGACCCATAGAACCAGTCATTGAAATCTGATAGTCAATAAATATGGACCTAAACCTATGATAGAGAACACAATTGATGAATAAAGTTGTATTGAAATTTCACTCTTACGTTGTTTGCTTCCATGCTTTCACTTAATGATAGACTCCATATATGTGTCATTAGTGAGACCCAATCCTAGCTCAGAAAGAAAAGGGAAACTCCTCAACCTTTTTTTCCATGGTTTTAATCGTCTCAATCTCCTAGTTGTTTTCCTCTTATAATTCCTCAAAAATTTTTTGAGAAAAAGGTTAACTTGACTAAGAAGGAAAAAGAGAGTACATGAGATGATGTACAATCAATCTACACACAGGTTACAAAGGTATGTTTCTATCACTGTACAAAAATCCCTGTGTGTACCAGATTTAGCCAAACTATCAGCTACAGAATTTAATTCCCTAGGAATCCAGCAAACGTTTACAGACAAGGAATTTAACAGATCTCTAGCCTCATTTAAGTAGTGGGCTAGTCTCCAAGGTCCTCCTTTCCTTCTCCCCCAACCACTTTATCCTGTTGCTGGAATCTCCTTTGATTGTTAGATCAATCATGCCTAGAGCCCTCGTGATACAGAGTCCTATTAAAGCAGCTAAAATTTCTGCAGTTGTGGAGTCTGCAACCCCAATTGGTCCGCTAAAAGCCCACATAGGGTGGCCATCCCTTCTCTTAAGCACACCACCAACACCAATTCCTGCTGTACCCGGGTTTCCAGTTGCACTTCCATCAAAGTATAAAGTCACTTCCTTCTCCTCTCCTTGATGGGGGAGGCTCTTCCCTCTTGCAGGACTGGGAGAGGAGAATCAAAATTCCACCACATCCTTATATATTAACTTTGTTATTGTGGATTTCCTAATCCTCTCTTCTCTTGCCCAATTCAAATGGCCCTGGTTTTAGCTTTATTTTAGTTATGTAACCACCACCACCACCAACCCTCCCCCCTCCATGACCAAGGCCCCAAAGAGAAGGGACTAAAAAAGTGCACTACTGCTCTATTTTTCCAGCCTCACCCTAGTTCTTTTTTTTTTTTTTGATGAATACCCCACCCTAGTTCTTCTCAATTGAGAATTTTTAACTTTTTAAGTCCAGTGGCATCCTAGAGGGTGGACCTTGGCACAACAGTTGGGTTGCTCCAATTGCGACCTGAGTGACCAGGGTTAAAATCTTGGACACAGCCTCCCTGTATGTGCAGGGGTAAGGCTGTGTACATTTGTCCCTCCCCAGACCCCGCATTGGCAGGAGCCTTGTGCACTGGGCTGCCCTTTTATGTCCAGTGGCATCCTAATTGTTGTACTTAAGCCCCATGAAATATTAAATATCATCCAGAAAACCCATCAAGTGGAAAATTTTATAGTGAATTGTTTGGCATTAATTATTAAAAAGTAATTAGAGCCTTAACCCCAAAAAACTGGTCCTATCCAATCTGATTTTGGAACTTATAGTTTACCCAGCCAGCCTCCATGAATGCCATATCCAACGGAATTCTCACCTCATACTCAATGAAGCATCAGAAAAGGCATTAGAAGTCCATGCCTTCATGAAGAGCAATGGTCTAAGCATATTGACAAATATATTTTAAGTCTGTGATTCAAAGTATATTTTGAAAAGGCTCAAAGTAAAAAATAAAAAATAAAAATACAAAAGTAGATTTTGAAAAGGCTCAAGTCTATCTCATGAACAAAAGAATTTGATTGGTGACCAACACTGAGAGCTGACCATGTCAAGAAAGAACTTTGACTTCAGAATATACTTTAATGCCTTAATATAACAATGATTAAAACCAAGTTATGAGAGAAGTACCTTTAAAAGAGAGAGAAAGAAAGAGAGAGTTATGAGAGATGAAAATTTAACAATATATATAACAAAAAAGAGAAGGCAAGGAGATTCTTAAGTACTCCTTAGAGAAAATAGGGAAAAACTTATATTTTAAGAAAGTGAAGTGAACATTTACCACTCTTAACAAGATAAATTAATATTTACCTGTAGGTCTTTTCTATGAAACCTTTGTCCTCTTAAAGTAAATTCTTGATCCACTAAGTCATTTTGTGGATTATAATCAGCTCTGCAGCCCAAAGAACATTATGTTTATGTCACTAAAAATGGATTGAAGAGTTAAGATGCTGAGAGGAAAATCTGCTGAAAAGCATATGAGTAACAAAAATATAAAATTTGAACCATTTGCAATCTTAATGTCCAAAAGATTTTAATCATGTCTACAGTAGAAATGTATCAAGTAGAAATAAGAAAGGTTAAAAAAAAGTAGTTCCCAAGTCAGAAAAATAAAGTTAACTAGGTAACCTCCCCAGTAGGCAGGGAATAATATACTGATAAGATGGAATGTATGGTGCAGTTATGTACCCAGAGATAGTGGGGGAAAAGCTCTTAAACCAGATCTTTTTGTAGATGTTTTTTTATGAATGATTAGGAAATTTTATTAAAGAGATAAAAAGGGGAAGTACAATCAGCCTTGGAGGAGGCACAAGATGCTACCTCCTCAAAGATATGAGTACAGAATCTACAGACCCAAGCACTGTGAAATTATAAATTAGCCCAATACAAAGATACCCAAGAAACCCCTTGCTTAGCCAAAGAGTCTGACAAAGGCATGAAATCTTTTTGTAGATGTTAAACCAGGTTTTATAGAATCCATTCTGATAGGTATTTGTTTCTTGGTCCTATAATAAGAAAGCAAAAAACTCCATATCCAACTCTACTCGAAGTTGGATCTGTGGTTTTATCTGTGGCATAATTAGTAACGCTTGCTTTTATGGCAATGAGAGAGATTATTTAGCATCATAATTAATGAAGGCTAAGCTTCATAAGGATTTCAGCATCGAAAGGTACTACAGGACATCCATGCTGTTCATACAACCAAGTCCAAATGTTGAGCCCAGAAATAAGGCTAATCTCAGCCAGACCTGTTGTTTGCTTAGTTGGTTTGCCTGTAAAGAGCAAGCTGCTATAACAGCATTTAGAGATTATTGAGTAATATAGTTGATGCTCATATGATTAAGTCCAAGGAGAATTATTTTGAGAGATAAATACCATCAAAGCAGCCAATTCTGGAGATATTTTCTTTATTTGATTATTTAGAAAAGATATTCCATGAGATATTATTATGTTTCTTTATTTATATAATTTCCTTTTATTCTCTTTCTGTACAAGAAAGTTTTCCATTGGTTTTATATAAGCAACTTAAATGTGTTGTTTAAATGCTCTATATATATATATTAATAGATATGCAAGGCCCTAGCTCACGATAAAAGGAAGCCCAGTACTGTTCACCATCCCATCAAATCCCCTACACAAAATGTAGAAAATAATACCCTCAAGTTGGTAAAGAAGTATGGGCTTGAAAGCTCATTTCTTGGCACACCCTCTCTTTCAAGGTTATCTGTTATAGAAATATTGGCTAGTCTAGGAAACTAAAGGAGGATTCTTTCTTGATGCCAAAGGTCTCAACTATCTAATCCAATTGCAGTCTACATGGCCATCCAGATCTGGCTTTGTCCCTCATCCCTCCTATCACAACCTATGATCTCCACCCCCCCCCCACCCAAATAATCATCATGCTTTGCCATCCAATGGTTATTGATAACCTGAGGTTCTGTATACAAGTCGTTGTGGCTTCCCTAGGCAATGCATCAAATGGTCAGTGACCATGCACTAAACAGGCAACCACTAATAAAAAGGCATGTTATAAAATAAAGAGGTGACCTCATGTACATGTTAATAAAGGTTGCAAATTTGCTAGAATAATTAAGCATTATTCCTGAGTAACCCTCCAATTCCACAGATTTCTCTTTACTTTAGACTGGGAGGAAGGGTGGTGGAGCCTAGTGGTTAGGGCCTTGCCTAGAACTACTTTGGATCACTGTCCTATCAGCGTCTCTGAACAAAGAGTGGGAGGAGGCCCTACCCTTTTAGGTTTGAGAGCATGTGGCTGCTACATCTGGATTTCAAATTAAAAGTGAAAGAATGGTGGGAAGAAGACCAAGTGGAGTTTAGATGGAAGGGTTTTAGATTTTACAAAAAACTACAAAGGTTGAAGGGCAGGATTAAAGAGTGGAATAAGGAAGTATTTGGGTCATTGGAGGAAAGAAAGACGCGCATCTCACATAGAATAGGGGAATTAGATGAGCTGGAAGGGGAAAGGACAATAAAAGAGGAAGAGAAATCTGAGAGATGGAGACTAAAGCATGAGCTGGAAGAGATTTTGAGGAAAGAAGAGATTTGTTGGAGACAGAAAACTAGATGTTGGTGGTTAAAGGAATGTGATGGCAATACAAGTTTTTTCCACTTAGTAGAAAATGTGAGAAAAAGAAGAAATTCTATTGTTCAGCTAGTGTGGAATGGGCAAACTCTAACTAGGGAGGAGGATATAGCACAGGCTTTTATGGATCACTTTTAAAGGCATTTTTACTAGTCAGGGAGTTTCCAAAGAGCCACTAGAAAATTTTGACTGGAAAAGAGGTCCTAGGGTGTTGATGGAATCCCTAGAAAAGGTTTTTGAAGTCCAAGAAATAAAGGAAGCTATATTCTCTATGCAAAGATCCAAAGCCCCAGGCCCAGATGGCTTCACGATGGCTTTCTTTCAAGATTGCTGGGAAATTGTGGGTGCTGATTTAGTGGAAGTTTTTGCTGAATTTTTTAAGGGGAAAATTCAACTAAATGGCAAATGCCACCTTTATCACTTTGATCCATAAGACCTAAGATGCCTCCCACCCAAAAGATTTTAGACCCATAAACCTTGTGGGTAGCATGTACAAAATTGTCTCCAAGGTGTTAGTTGAGAGGATTAAAAAAGCTTTTCTCTCTTTAATCTCTCCAAATCAAAGAGCTTTTGTGTTTGGAAGACAAATAATAGACCAAATCCTTATTGCAAACGAGTGTGTAGAGTATAAAAAACGGAGAAAGGAAAAGGGCTAGTTTGCAAATTGGATCTAGAGAAAGCCTATGACTTGGTAGATTGGGATTTCGTTCTAGAAGTGCTAAGGTTGGGAGGTTTTGGATCGAGATGGTGGAAATGGATAAAGGGTTGTATTTCCTCCTATCATTATTCCATTTTGGTTAACGGAGTTGCCAAAGATTTCTTTCCAGCTAAAAGGGGCCTTCGACAAGGTGACCCCCTTCCTCTTCACTCTAATAGCAAATGTGTTTAGTGATTTGATTTCAAGGGCTGATGCCAACAATCTGATACAAGGGTGGAGAATTGGGGGGAATAATGTGGTGGTTACCCATTTACAATTTGTACATGATATTCTAATCTTTTGCAAAGGAGAAAGGGAGGAAATGACAAATTTACAAAGGATGGTAACTCATTTTGAAAAGATTTTCAATCTCAAAGTAAACTGGAGAAAAGGTTGTGTAACAGGATTAAATACGGAGAGAGAAGAGGTTGAAAGCCTAGCTAGTTTGTTGCGATGTGAGGTAGGTGATTGGCCTCTATAGTACCTTGGACTACCCTTGGGGGGGAACCCAACTTTTGTTAGCTTCTGGGATCCGGTAGTGAAAAGATTCACAAAAAAGCTTGCTGGCTGGAAGAGAAACTACATATCTCTAAGGGGTAGAATAACCCTAATAAAGTCAACATTGACTAATTTGCCAGTCTATTACCTCTCAACCTTTAAGGTCCCCATAAAAGTGGCCAATAAATTGGAGAACTGATGAGAGACTTCTTGTGGGAGCCAAGGGATACAAAAAAAGATCATTTGGTAAAGTTGAGGTGGTTTCAAGTAGGGATAGTGGAGGCCTAGGGTTAGGAAACATCAAACTTAGAAACATGGCATTACTGGGTAAATGGCTATGGAGGTTTCCTTTGGAACAAGAAAATTTATGGCATAATGTAATTGTAAGCATTCATGGCATGGTAGACAACGGATGGGATGTTGGTCTTGATCCTAGGGCAACAAGGTCTTCTCCTTGGAAAGAATTTCACAGTTTGCTACCTTCTTTCCTTCCGATGGTCAGGTATGATGCTTGTTTGGGTAATAAAATACATTTCTGGGAGGATGAGGATATCTGGCTTGGGGACATTCCTCTCAAAGACAGATTTCCACCTATTTATTCTTGGTCCCTCAACAAAGGGAGAGTGATTTCTTCAGTGCTTGTTAATGAAAACTCTTGGGATCTAGGATTAACGAGAGGGTTAAGGGACTATGAAATGGGCTTAGTAGATGAACCAATCTCCTATACCTGTGCCTCCTTTTTCTCCGCCCTCCTTCAATCCTCGCACCCAGGAAGCTCCTTTCCCACAAAGGAAGTCTGGTGTAGTCCTATACCCCCAAAAGTAAGAGCCTTTTGTTGGGAGGTGGTGCTTCAGAAAATTAATACTCTGGATAATTTACAAAAAAAAAAGGCCGAATCATTGCCTTTCCCCTATTGTTTGTTGCCTTTGTTTGGGAAATGGTGAGACAATAACACATCTTTTACTTTCTTGTCCCTTTGCTTCTTGTGTATGGAATTGGTTTTCTTCCTTATTTGGTTGCAGGTGGACTCCTCCCCTGAATGTGACAAGTCTTTTCAATCCAAGTTTCTTCCTACTTTCAAAGAAAAGGGGAAGAGTGATGTGGAGGGCAATAAGAGCAGCCATTCTTTGGTCTTTATGGGAAGAAAGGAATAACAAAATATTCTAAGGGGCACAAAGACCAACAGAAAGAATCATTAACTGTGTAGCCATTAAGTCATACATTGGCTGAAAGTAAGTGATTTATTTAAAGATTTTTCAGTGGATGATATACAAAGGGGCTAGCCAACAGTGGCAAACTCTTCAACCAGACAGCCTGTCATTCAGCCTTCTTGGACACCAGCAGCACAACAAAGGGTAAAATTAAATTTTGATGGAAGCTCCATGGGTAATCTAGGACCCTCAGGAGCTGGGGGAGTCTTTAGGGATGGGGAGGGCAGAATGGTGGCACTATACTCTGGTCCCATAGGAGTGGGARATTATGAGAGCTGAAATTTTGGCTCTCCTACAAGGCCTGAGATTTGCCAAGCAATGGGAATTTCAGAACTTGGGAGGTGGAAGGAGACTCTAAATTGTTAATAGGGTGGCTGCAAACAAAGAAGTTGGGTGTATGGAAGTTTAGACTTTAAATAAGGGAAATAATCTGCTTGGCAAGGAAAGTTGGAGTAACATTCAAATGGGTAAGGAGATCGGCAAACTCTGTGGCAGATAGCTTGGCAAAACAGAAGACTTTCAGGGAAAACTTATTTTGGGCTGTACTGTAATTCTTGATGTTATTTTGGGGTCAACACTCTTTGTCTGAGTGGTTGACAGTGTAAGATGTTTATTTAATATCCTTAATGAAAGTTACCGTTTCCAATCAAAAAAAAAAAAATTTAAATTTAAATGGAATTTCTTCCTTATGGTTGTACACTCCACCATCCCCCTCTTATTGGTTTGTGAAACTCCAAACCAAGGGCTACAATTAGGGTAGTAGACCAGAGCAGATTCTTCTTCAGTTTCAACCAAGTCTGTGGTTGGTCAATGTGATTTACCAGCAATAAAGCTCCAATGCAAAATATGCCTAGGAATATCTGCTTTCTAGGAACAATAATGGCCTATCAGCAACCATGATTGGTACTTAACCACAACAGTGAAGCAAGGGGTGAATAGGGGTTCCTTTTTTGGGGCTCATTTCTAATTTTGTATCCTTTGTTTTGTGCTGGTGGGGGAGTTAAGAAAGTTTACTTCCCCCCTCCCCCTCTTGTAATTAAAGTTTCATAGTCTTAATAAAATTTGCTGTTACTGATCAAAAAGAGAAAAAAAAAAAAAAAACCTTAACCATAACAGTGGTTCAACAAGTGCCACTGCTAATTAGGTTCTCAAAATGGTTTGAGTGTGAGGCACTGTCAAATAGGCCATATCTTGAGAAGTGATAAACCAACTTATCAAACAAGTCTAGTAACCATGAAGTGCCTCCTAGAAAGACTGGAATCTAGATAGCTGCCCATGAACCAGAAAGAAAGAAATGAGCATGTCACCCAAGTATTGTAGATCCCTTTGTCTTAAAAGTAAATAACACCTTTATGGCTCCAGTAGTAGGATCTCTCACTACTTACAGATCATTGGAGATTAACTATCCAGCTTCAGGCCCTCTACATCCAATGTTTTACCGATTTGAGTTAGTTATTCTAGAGACTCTGTACTGTGATTCCTGTCCTCCTGTGTAATTCTCAGGGGTCTAGCCCCTCTTTTGTATTTGTACACACTCTTGTGTACCTCTCCTTTCATCAATAAAATTGTTAACTTTTCTCAAAAAAAAAAAAGAAAAAATTCATTCATGGCTCTTGGAAAACATGGTTGGGATGCTGGAACTTTGGCTAGGGCAAATTGGGCCTTCCTTGGAAAGTCATCAATGCAGTACTACCACTCTTTTCTCCTTTTATCAGATACAATCTATGTAGTGGTAACAAAGTTAAATTTTGGGAACATATTTGGTTGGGGCCCTCCTCATTGAAGGAACAATTTCCATCATTATTTGAACTTTCTTGCTCCAAAAATGAAACTGTTTCTATATTCTTGGTTGTTTCAAATTTGAGTAACGAATTCAGCTGGAATTTGGGATTCTGGAGGGGTATAAGAGACTCTGAACTCCAGAATGTACTCACCTTACTACAAAAGTTGGAAGATGTGTTTCTTGATCCCTCTAAGCCAGATAACCGAATTTGGACTTGTACCCCTTCAGGCTCCTCTTGTTCCTCCTTCAAAGCCTTGTCTAAGCCCTCCTCTAGCTCCTTGCCTTTTTTTCCAATTAAGGAGGTTTGGTGTAAGCTTGTTCCTCCTAGAATAGGCGCTTTCTATCTGGAAGTTGTTCCTGAAAAGATTAATACTCGTGACTTACTCCAAAGAAAATGACCAAATTGGTGTGTATCCCCTCAATGGTATATCTTGTGCAAGGCCAATGGTGATTGTTCATTTACTTCTTTTATTTTGGAATGGTCTCTCGCCTTGTTTGGATGTAGGTGGTCCCATCCAGCAAATGCTCAAAGCTTGCTGGCTCCTTTCTTCAATTGGCCAAAGAAAAGGGGAAGAATCATGTGGAGATGCTTAAGAGCAGCAACATTATGGACAATTTGGGAAAGGAACTATAGAATTTTAGAGGAGAGAATCGAGGAAGAATTAATGGAATTAATCCTCTTCAGAGTGGTACATTGGCTGAAATCCTTGGATACCTTTTCCAATGCCTCAATGGATGTCTTCTTTAGAAAGTGGAAGGAATTGGCTGATTCATGCTCATCTAAGCCTATCACCAATTATTTCCAGTCTCCTCTCGAAAGAGGATTTGTTAAACTTAATTTTGATGGCAGCAGTTTGAGAAACCTAGGTCTTTCAGGTATTAGTGGAGTGTTTAGAGATGAGGAGAGCAAAATCCTAGCTCTCCACTCAGGACCAGATGGGGAGGGGGACTCCCTTAGAGCAGAAATATTGGCACTGATGGAAGGCATGGAAAGAGCAAAAGACTTGAACATTAGGAAGCTGATTCTTGAGGGAGATTCCAAACTGGTAGTAAGTTGGTTACAAGGAGAAGATTAAAAGTTCTGGATTTATAGCAATGAAAAGAAGAAACTAAGGTGGTTGACAAGAGATATGGAAATCTCTTTCAATTGGTTAAATGTTGCACTAACTCATTAGCTGATGTATTAGCAAAACAAGGGGCGGAATAATCTTTATTCTAGGCACTCTTGTAATGGAAGGAAGGAAAGCTGGGGGAGAGATAAGAGGTTTTATCTCTCATTGACTGAATCTTCTTTCTCTTATAATTCTTATCTTGTACACTTTTGATCTATTAATGAATTGAAATGTTGCAGTTATCGATCAAAAAAAAAGTACAGAAGAAACAGCAGAACAGGATTCATGTTCCCAAACCCATATAGTTGAGACAAGACTCTGTTGAGTTGAATTGAATTGAGTTGAACTAATAATGCATTGGAGCTGTTGGAGATTCTCAACTGGCACTGGCCTATGTATAAGCCAAAAGCTAACTCCAAGTTATAAAACCAAGAGGTTTAGAATTCTGTATTTTGCTATTCTCTTTTTCTTTTTATTGTTTGTATTATCAAGTTTTCAAATATAGCTAACTTGAAAACCTTTTAAGAAAGCCCAAATAGGAAGACCATTGCAATAAACCTTTTAGGAGGTTTAGAACTCCCTAAAGTGAATATTAAGAAACTCTAGAATCTCTACATTAGCTCCACGGTTATTTTAGAGGTATCCAAATTTGCAGATACCACGAAAGTGCATTAGAAATAAATGAATAAACAACATGGAGATCCACCTGTGTCATATTCAAACTTTCAAAATAGGGGTACCAGTTCCTTGAATTTAGCGAACTCAGAGGCACACGGAAATGAAAACTCGATTAGATGTTGTAGAAAAGTGCACAAATGAACAGGAGATCCAATATCAGATCCCACGCATCAGAAATTCAAAGAAATATATGAAAACAAACAAAAATAAGGTCCAACCGGAATTTAATTTCAGAGTTGTAATCCACCTGAGAACCCAGATATAAATTTCACTTGCTAAAAAAACAAACAAGAAGGAAAATTTAACTCACAAAGTCCAATATCCATTAACAACCCCCCCCCCAAGCAAACATTACTGAAACCTCCTAAGTTTAAATAACATTCCAATCTTTCCAAATCAAACAATGGCAGTTAAAGCGAATACGGTTCAATTTCTACCTCATCGTACCCAAAAAAACCAAAAAAGGAAAATAATCAAAAACAAAATAAATGGAAAAAAAAAAAAAACGTAGACGAGCCATGCCATCACGTAGAAGAAACAAAAATAGAAAAAAACTAAAGCCCGAAAAAAAACAGCTAAAAATAGCCAAACTGGGATTTTCAATTTTGTACTGTTACCTTGGAGGGCGAATAATGAAGTTGACGAGCTGTTCCATCGATTTAGATTTAATCCTTCTTCTATTTGCAATTCAGATTCTCAGATTCGTAATTGCGTTTAAATTCAAGAAGAGAAACAATAGAACCCGTCGATAGACAACGATTTCTTAAAAGAATGAGAATTTTTCCTCCTTTCTCCTACCAAAGCAAAGCAAACACAGAACTGGCTTCTCTCTCTTCTTCTCTCCACACGCGGGAAACGTCGGCGAAGGCACTCACACGTGTTTATGTTCTGCCCAATAACGAGGGCTTGTTTGAGCCTTCGACGTTAGGATAAGTGCCCTATGCGCGATTGCTTCTACGGCTCTACCGACTCCTCCCTCTGATATCTTTCGATTGACGGATTTCTCCTGCAGCTCTGAATCTGATGGAAGGGCACCGCCGTGCCGGCAGTTTTTTGCCGTTTGACAGTGACTGAGTCGACTGAATTGGTGACTTATTGCTTTGTGATGTAATGGACAAACTAATTAAATAATAAAATATTCAATCAGCCCAACTTTAGCTTCAGCCATTCGGTTCATTGCTTCAGCTGTTACCAAAATGCAAGTTGAACTGCTTAAGTTTCACGAATAACGATAATAGTAATAGTGGTTGCTGAGTAGAGAAGCTAAGGTCCTAAGGAATAACTGTTGCAAAGAGTTGCATGCAGAAATGAAATTCAATGAAAAAATAAAGAAATAAAAGTAGGCCTTAAGTTATGATCTTATTAAGCAGTATGGCTATGTGAGTCTTTTCTTTAAGGCTATTTTGGTAGAATTTTAAGGTTATATTTGGTTTCATAGAGTAAATAATTTTCCCCCAACTTTCTTTAATCTTATTTTCTATCAAACCAAACACAGCCTATTAGTTTATTTTATTGAGATGGTTTTTTTCCTGGATATAATTGTGGGTTTTCTCTTCCACTTGCTGCTATTCCTCATTGTCAAATAGTCAAGTTTTAGGGTTGTTTGGTAACAACTACACTGCCTGAATTAAACTTGTCATCTTTTATGGAATAGAGCCATTTAAGTTGGATGTGAGTTCAATGACATGTTTCAGTTATTATTATACCCATAAATATCTTATTATATGATTATCTTATTTCCCAAGGCTCCATTTGAGAAATGCAAATAGAATGTAAATACAATCATGTAGAGTGCATTCTGGTTCATGTATTTGTAAGGGGGGTTTAGTTTTGTATTGATCAAATTATTTTCTTGTCAAATAAATTTTAGTTGAAATAGGTGCAAATACAAAACCCAATGCTAGAATATACCTTTTTAATATTTGATGTCATTTTGAATGCAAATGTCTTGGAACTTGTGYTTTTTGTCATTGTCAAGACAAATCCATTATTGCCAAATACTAGCAAAACTAAATCAGAGTGCATATATATGCAGTGAACCAGCATTTTGCACTCTTCCCAAACAAAAGCCACAAGACATCAGTGTAAGTGTTTTTTTATTACAATACAAAATGAAAAAAAAAAAAGAGTTCATTTTCCTTTTCATGGTATTGTAGTTAAAATAGGAGTCCTACTAGTGTGTGAAATGAACAATGTTTCACAACCTTATAGTCTGTTTGTTTTCATGACTCGAACAAGAAAATAGAGATATTTGCCCAAGATTCCTATTTTCTCTTGTTTGTTTTGGGCAAAAGAATGAGATGCAACGAGAAGTTGCTTCTCAAACTATGTATATATAGACATTATATATAATTACATAAATTTTATACATAATAAATTGAATATTTTATATTGTATAAATTAAAAACAAATGCTTTTTTAAAACTTTTTAGTTTTTGAGTAAATTGTTAAAACCTCCCATGAAGTTTTTTATTATTTCTCAAACCTCCCTTGAAGTTTTATAATTGCAATCACCTCCCTTGAACTTTTTGACGCAGTTGCAAGTAGACCCCCTCTATTAAAATTCTCTAACAAGAAGCACAAAAATGTCTAAAATACCTGCTCAATTACTATTGAGGCTGATTTCCACAAAAAAAATACAAACTTTATGAACAACAAAAAAAGAGAGTTTAAAGTTGCAGTTTTACATTTGAGCATTGATATGAAGGGCAATTTTGGAAAATAAATTAATTTTTGAAAAGATATTGGAAGGGCTTGGGGTAGTGATTGATATGAAGATAAGTTTTGGAAAATAAACATTTTGGTCAAAAGTAACTATATCGGTATTTTGGACATTTTTGTAACTTGTTAAAGGATTCTTATGGAGGGGATCTACTTGCAACAGTGTTAGAAGATTCATGGGTGGTGATTGCAATTACCAAACTTCTAGGGAGGTTTTAGCAATTTACTCTTAAATTTTTTCTCCATTTTAGTCATAATTATGAATGGCAACAAGGCTGGTTCATGGCAAGGATCATATTTCCCATCCCAAATCTTAACTCTGAAATAAATCCTTGTCCCCAACCCCAATCCCTATCGGCGATAAAACTTATCCTCTATCCCCAATTCTTATTGGAGACAGTTTCCCCACAGGGACCTAAATCCCTAAAATTTTTTAACTAATTGTATTTTTTAAAAATAAATTTACAGAAAATAAAGAAAACTTTCAAAACATAAGTAATATCATATATATAAAATAATATGTATTTAATATGTACAATATATATAATATAATTGGGATTAGGGCTGAATGGGGACTTCACTCCCCATCCCCGACCTCATCCCCGGTTGGGGATCCCTATTAATCCCTATCCCCGCCCCACCAAGGCAATCTCCATCCCCGACCCTATCAGGTTGGGACGTGGCAAGGATAGAGAAAATTGCCATCCCTAGTTATAATAAGTCAAACTCATATTAAATCCAAATCCAATCTGACTCTAATGTATCATATGCTAGAATGGATCCGAATCCTACTTGATTATAGCCTTATAAGCTTCAACTTAAAATGTGGTGTTGCTAGAAGCAAATATACAAATGTTTTTTTGAAAAAAAAATATGTGAATGTTAAGTGAACAAATCCTACTGCAACCGATGTCCAATACAAAACCTTTCACGTATAACAAGATTTCGTTCTCATAAAATGGGTCTTCACATTAGGGGTGAGCAAATGGGTAGGTTCTACCTAGAAACAAAATGGAATTGACCTCAAACTGGCCTTAAACCAACCCTATCCAATTTAGTACAAGGCAAGGTTTGGTTCCAAATTATTGGAACTCACCCCCACCCAAGTTGATACCAAGGTCTAGGGGTTTACCTTACCTGAACCAATTCGACGAATTGGGCTTGGTTGGCCTTGAAATTGAACTTGCATTGATATAAACCTCAAAACATTTTTATGGATGTGAAGACCCAAGCACTAATGATTACAAAAGCCATGGTCTATCTTGACTATTAAGTTACTTAAATGATTTGATCATTTATTCTCATTTTAATATTTGAATGTGTATAATAAATAATGTAAAAGGTAATCTTATATATGTGCTAAAAACAAAATGGGGTATAGACGAGCCCTCTACGCCTCCAAAATGGAACCTTTCAACCCCTTTATGTTTCCGAAATGGAATCTTCACATGTGAGCTCTAATCTTGCACGTGTGAGTTCTAAGCTTGGCTCATGGACCGGGGGCACGGGAATAGTTTGATGGTTAGGTCCATAGCCCGATGGATGATAGCTTGGCTCTAAGCTTGGCTGATGGACAAAGCCATCCATCAATCTCTCGACTAAGTAGAGCCTGATGGACATAACCTCTTGGGTCTAAGCTTGGCTGATGGACAAAGCCATCCATCAATCTCTTGCCTGAGTATAGCTTGATGGACATAGCCTCTTGGGTCTAAGCTTGGCTAATGGACAAAGCCATCTATCAATCTCTTGCCTGAGTATATGAACAAAGCCATCCATTAATCTCTAGGCTTTAAGCTGAACCGACCTACGTTGTCTCATATGTGTGTGTGTGTGTTTGTCTCATAGTGTCTCTCTCTCATCTCTCTTTACTCGAACTCACTCTCTCTGTCTCTCTCTCATATTGCCATCTACCTTAGTTGGTTGTTCACTCGAACCCATCTCTCTCTCTCTCTCATATCCCCGTCTTCTCTAACTCTCGCTCTCTTGTATGGTCGCTCTGGTTCTCTCCAATGTTGTTGACATTGTTCATGGTGGCCAGGTTCAGTGTTCGCAACAGAGGTGGCGGTTTGTATTTTTTGGGGCATTTTTTTCTCCTTTCCTACTCTCTCTATCTCTCTATCTCTCTCTCTCATATCACCAGCTACCTTAGTTGGTTGTTCACTCAAACCCATCTCTCTCTCTCTCTCTCTCTCTCTCTCTCTCTCTCTCTCTCTCTCTCATATCCTTGTCTTCTCTAACTCTTGCTCTCTCGTATAGTCGCTCTAATTCTATCCATTTTGTGCTTCGGTTGGGCAAGTTTTTTGGTACTTTGCTGGTCCGATAAGTTTCTTGCCAGTGTTGTTGACATCATTCATGGTGGCCAAATTCGGTGTTCGAAACAGAGGTGGTGGTTTGTATTTTTTGGGGCATTTTCTCTCCTTTTTTTGTATTTTATTTGTGTTGTTGATTTCCCTTTACTTTCTTATGTTCATATATTTTCTGGTCTATTAATTTGCATTTGCTTTCTTATGCTAATATCTTTTGCATTGTTGTTTTGTCTACAAGGGTCCGGTGATGTTGGTCGATGGCGGTGGTGGTGGGTTTGGTGGCATGGTTTGTGCTGTTGATTTCCCTTTACTTAATGTTTTTTGCCTTGTTGTTCTGTTTATGAGGGTCTGGTGATCTTGGCCGGCAACGGCGGCGGTGGCTTTGGGGGCGTGGTTTGTGTTGTTGATTAACCTTTACTTAATATTTCTTGCCTTGTTGTTCTATCTACGAGGGTCCAGCGGTCTTAGCTAACGGCAACGGCGGTGGGTTTGGTGGCGTGATTTGTGCTATTGATTTCCCTTAACTTTCTTATGTTGATATATTTGTCTCTCTGTTCATTTGCCTTTGCTTTCTTATGCTAATATTTTTTGCCTTGTTGTTCTGTTTACAAACGTCTAGTGATGTTGGCCAGTGGCGGTGGTGGTGGGTTTTTATGGTGTGGTCATGGTGACCAACCTCTACTTCAATATTTTTTGGCCTTGGCTGTGCTACGACATCAATGATGGTGTTGTCTCTACACTTTTTGGGTCATCGTTGGCAGGTATGGTGGTGGCGGTTATTAGTGGTAGCAATAGTGTCTTGTGGTTGTAGTGGTGTAAGAGTGTAGTCTCTGCCCTCTCTGGGTTTCAGTGTTGGTGCAGTGTAGGTGTTGGCGGTTATCAGTGATGACAACAATGTGGCCATGTGGTTTTCCCTTTTTGCTTTCTTCATTTGTAATTATGGCCTATGTGTCCTTTCGATTCGGACCAGTGGGTATGTGTCCAGTTTAATCTAGATTCCTACAGGAACTCATTCGACCTGATTTGGTTGTAGATCTGAGAATGGTGACTTGACCATAGGTTTTGGATCCCGTTGC